GTAATCCTACTCTTTGATTTATGTTTTTTTGTTTTCGTTCTTATTATGAATGAAAAAGTATTTGACATTAACTTTTATTCAAACAACAGATCACAAATTCATTGATAATTTGAAAACGAGAAAAAGCTTTCCAGAGGAAAGATGCTTGTAAACATTGTCAAATTCTGTACTTGCCTGTCTCAAGTCAGGAGCCTGCAATTCAGTGATTTTCGTTTGTTGATGTATATCATATTTTTTGTTTTTCATTTTTGTTTGTACATTTACATAAATCAGACCGCCGTTAGTTTACTTGATTTAATTGTTTTACATTTGTCATCTCAGACCCCCCCCCCCCAAAAAAAAGCAAATAAATAAAAAATATCAAAAATATAAGAACATATATCACGTGACAAATCTCAGGCTTCCCTCAACAAACAAAACAAAGCTTAGTCGTGTGTCATGTAGGTCGATTTAAGTTACAAACTAAAAAAATCATTAGTAATTTGTCACTGCACTTCTACCCATGCAGAATTAATTCTTTACAGCTTGTGAAAATACGGAACATGTATTATCTAGTATGTAGTTAAATATATCAAATATTTGACCTTGCAGATATCGATACTGTTAACTTCGTCAAAAGGTTATTCGTCAAATTGTTCTATTTCGTTCAATTAATTGTTGCTTTGTGAAATATTTATAAAGCATTTTGTACTTGATATGGTATATGACATAAAAAATAACTAGATCATACGCGTGTCATACACTATAAAAATAGTTTTCCATTTAATGAGTTTATGCTCTTTTGCAATCCTTCTAGCATTGTGCATATAATTATTGATAATAATATTAATTTGACCGTTAAATAATGAGTAAGACAGTGTTTGGTGTTTTATCCTAAGGACAATTTCCACTGCATTTGAGTTGTAATCTTGCATTCAAAGTTTATTAAACCTTATAAAACAAAGAGTATCTTTGATAATATATTTAGAAAATTATAAATTCAAAATCTGATTAAAAAATTTCCCTTCTGTAAAAATTGATGTAAAAAAAAAAACATAATCAAGAAATGTGTATCTGTAGAAATAAGAATCAATATATTATAAGTTATTATTTTTGACCCCACTAATATGATTATTTAGACTGTGTCGAAAACCGTTGAACGATGAGCGCGAAAGTTCCAGCTAAATACATAACTTTTCCTATGATGTCTTATTTCAGGTATCTGCACTTGATTTCTCATAGGGTTAGCAAAACGTTTTGATATATATGAGATATCTACAAAATAAGTTATCAATGACTGCATAAGACAGTGATCACTGTATGGATATTTCAGGAAAATAGACGAAAACAAACATGGATATATAAAAACAAAGTGTAACATCTTCAATTCGTGATCTTAGTATTCAAAATGTTTTTGCGAAATTCGCACACGATAGGTCAGAATGAATATTAACAGTCCCTTTTTGTGAAGAAGGTCCAATTTGTCTTTCGGGTTTTCAAAATCTGTTGCTATGGACGTTACTGATAAACGTTAATGTAGCACAATCCTTCGGAAGCATCGAATTCGTTTGTTTGTTTTTTTTTCAATTTTTACTTTACTACCATTGAATGGATATCGATCCTACATTTCTGTCGTAACATTCAATGATATCACCCTCCAAGTCGTCTGTGATTCGCAACATGCAGGACTTTCATATATACGTACAAATACGTTTTGATAAATTGCAAGAATTTAGATGTTTTGATTTCTTGTCTGCTTTTACTTAAAAAATCAATAATTACTTCATTGTAACATTTTTTATTTCTCCTTTCGTCGTTGTATATCCTGGTTATTGGGGTTTTTTACGCATAGAGCAAAATTAATGTCTTTTGTACATCAAAAACAATTAAAATAAGACCCTTCTTCACCAGATTTGACTCACTTATGTTATTTCTAGGAATGAAAAAAAAAATAAGAGTAAACAATATTTAAGCTTTAAGTCCTGAAAACGTTAAAATCATTAAGATACGATAATAGACTTGCTGGCTACTTTATTCTTGAGGTCAAACTCAAAATAAGAAAAAAAGCATTATGACACGTCTGTACTATATCGATATTCAGATGTATGGTATGTTTTATATTTTGGACGACGTTCAACAATCAATTATATTTTGAACTTTTGAACACGCTACAAGAAAAACGTAGTGATTGTAGTTTCCAAACACAGAAATGTCCTTTCTTGAAAAAGCAACATACTACACTAACATCAATTGCGTATTGTGTAGCTATATCAAAGTCGGCTATTTATTAAATATAAAGAATTAGATGTTTTATAATTGCCAATGAGAAAACTCTCCACCAGAGACCAAACATGAAATAGAAGTTAATAACTATAGGTCATCGTATGACCTTCAACATTGAGCAGATCCCATACCGTATAGTAAGCTATAAAAGGCCCTGAAATAACAAATGTAAAACTATTCAAACACGAAAACTAAAGTCCTGATTTATGACAAAACAAAAAGCGAAAAACAAAAATGGTATACAGCAACAAACGACAATCACTGAATTACAAGCTCCTAACAAATTCAATGCACTGAGTTAGATCTAGACTTCTTCGAGTTACATGTAGTACATGCAAACCTCAACGGTCCATTTCGGGTAAATTAAAGAACCTTAGTGAGCGCGCTCACATACCCCACGTCCCACATTGTCATTGGAGAAATAAGATGAGTGTAAGAAAAAAAAATGAATCATAATTTCCGGTCAATATGCACATCTACATAGTATGTCCTTATTATCTACAAAGTCTGATGAAATTCTGTTGTGTGGTTTCAGAGGAGTTACGATGACGAACTGTTGCAGAAGTACATTGACGCAAATAAGTTCAAAGGGGCGCAACTCCTAGAAAAAAAATTGAACCGTAATTTCCTGTCGATATGCACATCTACATAGTATGTCCTTATTATCTAAAAAGGTTTCATGAAATTCTGTTGTGTGGTTTCAGAGGAGTTGCGATGACAAACTGTTGCTGTATTACATTAAAGCAAATAAGTTTAAAGGGGCGCAAATCCTAGAAAAAAAATTGAATCGTAATTTCCTGCCGATATGCACATCTACATAGTATGTCCTTATTATCTAAAAATGTTTCATGAAATTCTGTTGTGTGGTTTCAGAGGAGTTGCGATGACAAACTGTTGCAGTAGTACATTAAAGCAAATAAGTTCAAAGGGCAGCAACTCCTAGAAAAAAAATTGAATCGTAATTTCCTATCGATATGCACATCTACATAGTATGTCCTTATTATCTACAAAGTTTCATTAAATTCTGTGGTGTGGTTTCAGAGTAGTTGTGATGACAAAAGGTTGTAGTAGTATATTGGACAAATAAGTTCAAAGGGGCGTAACTCCTGGGAAAAAAATTGATTCGTAAATTCCTGTCGATATGCACATCTACATAGTATGTCCTTATTATCTGAAAAGGTTTCATGAAATTCTGTTGTGTGGTTTGAGAGGAGTTGCGATGACAAGAAACAGGACTGACGGACTGACGGACGGACGGACGGACGGACGGACGGACGGACAGAAGGACGGACAGACGGACAGACAGACGGACAGACGGGTCAAAAACATTATACCCTTCGCAAAATATTTGCGTGGGGTATAATTAAGTGTGCACATGTGTGTGCATCACATTTTCTACTAGATACATTTGCGAGTACCTTATAACGCACTGGTACCGACGTTTACATGCACCCAATTTTAAGGCTGGTTTTATCATTAATTTTAATTTCACTTTCCGCTATACAGATGATGTCTTTTAACTGAATAATTCAAACGTTGGTGACTATGTTGAATGTACCAATACCAACGAACTTGAAATAAAGGGTTCAATAGATACATTCAATTATACCTCACATTTTGACTTACATCTAGAAATTGACAATGAGGGTCGGTTGGGAACCAAACCGTTCGACGTAAGAGATGATTTCATTTTTCCAATTGTGAATTTTCCATGTCTATGTAGCAGCACTTAAGCTTCGCCTGCATACGGAGTAATTATTTCCCAATTGAAACGATATTCCTATCATGATTTCCTTGATAAAGGGTTATTGCTTAAAATGAAGCTTTTGCACTAAGGGTTCTAAGTGGTAAATTTGAAGTCATCCCTTCAAAAGTTTCACGGACGTCATCACGAGTTGATTGACCGTTATGGAACATCTGTGTCACAAATGACTACGGATATGTTCCACTAGTCGTAACCACATTCCCATCCTCGTCTTCTCGATTTTTACATTACCAAAAGTTTCTTAATACCGGATTTTAACTTTTTTTTAGCAACACGACGGGTGCCAAGTGTTGAACAGGATCTTCTCTATTCTTTTTTTTATGGCCTGTTATTCTGTATTCTGTAAAGCCCCACCCAGACCCTTAGTTCTGTAAGTTCAGATGAGTTATGTTAAATCAGAATGTATATTTTACAATGCTTATATAGGGTAAGCCTTGGGCTGTTTTCTACTCTTTAGTCGGGTTGTTGTTTTTTTGACGCATTCCCCATTTCCATTCTCAATTTTATCATCTATTACTAATGATAGTTACCTGAGACAATGCCCGATTTATAAGAATAATTCGTTAATACATTAACCACGAAATAGGGTAAGGGGACTGGAGCCAAGTAGTTCAGTGGTTGTCATTTGTTGATGTATATCATAGTTGTTTCTTAGTTTATGTGTACATAAATCCGACCGTTAGCCTTTTCGTTTTAATTGTTTTACATTTATCATTCCGGGTAATTTTATGCTTGCTATATATGCGGTATGGGTTTTGCTCATTGTTGAAGGCCGTACGGTGACCTATAGTCATTTGGTCTCTGGTGAAAGGTTGTCTCAATGACAATAGTACGACATTTTCTTTTTTGTATAATAAAGCAATTACAGTAATCATCCTTTTTTTCATCACATTAAATATTTGGAAATCATGCTACATCTTCTTGTTTTTACGAATCAGTTTGCATTTGATAATTTTCATTCAAAAGGAAAAAATGAAAATAAACAATTTTTTTCAATTTTTTTATTAACAAATATAAAGACGCGATCATATTTACAAGTTGATATATTTCAATATATTTATATCAATTTCAATTCAAAAATGTACAAGTTGATAATTTTTTTAAATAAAAAAACATCATCAACATAAAAAACAAAAAACAAACAACAATTGTCTTCAAGTGTCCCCTGTTCTCAATTCCGTAAACCGTTAAACAATCTAGCCAAAAGATTTTACAGTATCTTAATTTGTGATGTGACTATACATGTTAATTGTTATATAAATTATGTGATTGGTGCATGTGCTTTGGTATTTGTGGTGCCTTCTATAGTACTTTATATATCTTATATGAAATTAACATTATGTGTATCCACTGCCATTGTCAAACAGTCACAGTGACTTGAATACATATATATATATTAAACATATACATTTTGCTTATATCATATGCTTTCATTGAGGTGTAAAAAAAGCTACAATGTGTATTTCAATCCCTACAAAATACAAACTGAAAGATGGTAATATTACTTTGAATTTTAGTTAGAAGACTAAGATCACCCGCACAGGTTTTAATTACTGCCTGTTTTGACTACTATACACAAAGGGTGCACTGGTTGCCTCTAAACTGGTTACAGCGTCTTGTAGGTTTGATAAACCTTTTTTGGAATAGCCAAACAGGTTTCGCATCGTTTCTTGAAAACTGAAACCAGTTTTATAAGCTTATCAAACCCCGTCGGGTGGTTTGAACAGTTTAACATACCAATGCCAGAACTTACATTTGTTTCAAAACTGGTAAACCGAAAAAAAAAAAAAGTTTAAAACCATGAAATAAATTATTTTCATCAGACACAATTCCTCGAATGCTTACGAATTTGACCTGTTATTTGTTTTAAGGGATAATCCATACTGTTAAATGAAGATAAACTGATAGATGTGCGACTTAAAAGAAATATTTCAATATGAGACTAGAAAAAAAAAAAATGCAAATTAAAAAAAAAATATGTCAGATAAAAGTCTTTTCGTTGCTTTACTTTAATAAGTTTTTAAGGAGTTTTTAAGCATACATATCTAAAATATAAACCGCAAAGAAGGACAAGTTACAAAGCATATAACTTTGTTTCAGAAAGTAAACAAACAAAACCGTATTTCTTTGCGAAGTCGTATGTTATTTTCTTTGATGTCGTTGAGGTTATTTTGTTGCGTTCGGTTGCTTTCTCAATTTTGCAAAGCAAACATCTTCAATTTAATCATAAGTTTCTAAAACCTGATTGCAAGAATGAACTACTTTTTTAAGAAAAGGGAATAGTAAATTTTGAAATTATTCTCGCGTAATGCGCTCCTAATGCCACTCATGCATTATTTTTTTTTAAGAATCTACATTTGCGGGTCATTCCCCAAACAGATTTGCTACATGTACCTACCTTAGGTCATTTTTTGGGGTATAATGTATATGTTACTAGTTTAGCTTTATGCTTAATAAGTATATTTTTAAGTCGATAGTATTTGTTAAGTTCTATACAATTCCCTTAATTTGAAAGATTACACATGGGGGAAAACACAGTAACGCAAAAATAGAAATGTTTTAAACATATCTAGGAGACAACTTTCATTGAATACTTTAAGGATCTAATTTCTTGTACCCTTACAAAATAGACGTTACAGAGCAGTCTGTTGTGAAATACATTTCAACTGAGTTGTCTCTTTTTTAAAGCCAATATTTTTTTTAATAAATCAAGTTTATGTTAAGATAAATATATACATGTTTATGCTACTATGTCTGTATATTTCATTATATAAACGTCTATCATATCAAATATATTCATGTAGGTCCAAATTTATATATAATTATTGATAAGGAATTTAGAATGCCACCACAATCTTTGGGCCAGGACATAATTTCTTTTTTGTTTTCACGCTACACACGCGAAGTAGACAGACTATTAAAGTTCTTAGAAAAGATTATACAAATTAAAATGGCATTTTAATCCTAAGTTTCAAAATGATCATTATAACTACTGTTAAAACTATAAATGATATAAACAAAATCCAAAACATTGCAAAATCTACAAAAGAGGTAAAATCAGACCAGGTCACCTTCTTTTTCTTCTTGGTATATTCCAAATCATTGACACGATTGTCTTCGCAACAACAACAGCAACATGCACATCGCATCAGTGTTTTAACCCAATCCGGCACCCTGCTCTGACTGTGATGCATGCGGAGCTCAAGTGCCGTAATACAAACTGTTATCACTCCGAAACCGAGTAAGACCATCAAATAATATCCGAAATAGGATCCGGACGACTTGGGTAATTCCGAACTTACGATTGTCAGAAAAACGGCAAATGATAAGAAAACCGTCATTGCGTATCCCATCTTTTCCCCACTGTCCGCTGGGAGGACATAAGTAAACACATTTAGAAGTCCTAGAAATATGACCGGGATAATTATGTTAAAAATATAATACCCAGAGCTCCGTTGAATTGTAAGTGTAAATGTGACCTTTGACTCTGTTCCTTCTTTATCCTCCTTTGCGGAAGTTGAAACTATGCTCCATTCTGCACTTTCTTCCATATCTTCTGTAGAAATTCCATCCGCACCTTTTGTAACATTCACGTCATCTATGAAGTATGTCCAAACAACAAAAACAAGGTCGCACGTTTGTTGATCAAAAGGAAAGTGAGTAATGTCAATCGTGCATTTGGATTCGAAAACCTCGAACGGCTGCCACCATACAAGTCCAATATTCATAATCTGGGCTAGGATAAAATCAGACCCAAGTGTAGTCAATTTGGTAAAGCCGTTTTTAAGTGTCAAATCTGGTTTCCATATTCTATCTTGTGGAACATACAGAATCATGACATCACCAGTGTTCCAGGTTAAATATTCGTCGGTCCATCTAACAGATAGGTAACCAGTTGTTGTTAATTTACCTTCAACTTCATCTAAACCATTAATACCAACAAGGATCATGTCTAGATCAACGTTCATCGGTTTCGAATAATCCTTGTTTGGTCGAACTATTGTACTATAATTTGAAAACAAGTCAGTGACAAGAGTCTGGGCGGCATCTCCTCCGCCCATCTGTCCAAGACATGGAATTGCTTCAAAAGATATGAACAGTGAAATTTTTATTATTTTGTCCATGTCTACCGATCAACGTTGGATTAATGAATGCATATGCAAACTGGGTTTAAGTCGATGTAAATATAATACTATGAATAGTCATATGTTAAAATGAAACATGGGGCCATTAAAGGGAAATCTCATTTTTTTTATTTTTCTAATGAGGTAAATAATGGCAATCTCCTATAGTATCTATATACTGATTTGAGACGAGTATATATAAAGGTTAAGATTTCCTACATTTCTTTGCAAAGAGTGTTTTAAGAGAATATTTCCTTAAATCTTCCCTCGCAAGTTTTTTGTCTTTCTTTTGTTTTTTGTAAGTGAACACGCTACCACTAGTATGATCAAGTGTAATCGATCTGCATAGATAATAAAAGAAATAGTGGAGCATACATTAATAAAATATAGCAACGACTAAAATTACGATCAAAACTTGTTTAAAACAATGATATCATTAACTAAATGAATTAAGCTTTAGATAACGAAACAGATACTAAATTACGTAGGTCAATTGTTTTAATGACAAATGTTAAACTATGTATAGATGACGGCCTGAATTAGGGGATGGGAGGGGGTCCTTCACTTCTGCATTCTTTAAATTTTAGGCCATTTTCCTCTATTCTTTATAAATATCGACAAGAATTTTAAGTATTATCTATTCTTTTTATTTCAGCACCCCATAATTCTCTATTCTGTATTTTTTGTTTTTACTTGAAAGTTTCTACTTCTTCTACTGCATCGTGCATTGTACAAATTCAAAAGTTCATCGACGAATTAAAAAGAAGATAAGATAAATACATGTATATAAAACTATGTCTGTATATGTAATTATATAAACGTCTATCATATCAATTATATTCATGTAGTTCCAAATTTATATATAATTATCGATAAGGAATTAAGAATGCCACCACAATGTTCGGGCCAGGACATAATTTCTTTTTTGTTCTCTCGCTACACACGTGAAGTAGACAGACTGAATTCTTAGAAAAGATTATATAAATCAAAATCACATTTTAACCCTAAGTTTCAAAACAATCATTACAACTACTGTTAAAACTATAAATGCTATAAACAAAATCCAAAACATTGCAAAATCTACAAAAGAGGTAAAATCAGACCAGGTCACATTCTTTTTCTTCTTGGTGTTTTCCAAATCATCGACGCGATTGTCTTCGCAACAACAACAGCAACATGCACATCGCATCACTTTTTCAACCCAACCCGGCACCTTGCGCTGACTGTGATGCATGCGGAGTTCAAGTGCCGTAATACAAACTGTTATTACACCAAATCCGAGTAAGACCATCAAATAATATCCGAAATAGGATCCGGACGACTTGGGTAATTCCGAACTTACGATTGTCAGAAAAACGGCAAATGATAAGAAAACCGTCATTGCGTAACCCATCTTTTCCCCACTGTCCGCTGGGAGGACATAGGTAAACACATTTAGAAGTCCTAGAAATATGACCGGGATAATTATGTTGAAAATATAATATCCAGAGCTTCGTTGTATTGTAAGTGTAAATGTGACTTTTGACTCTGTTCCTTCTTTATCCTCCTTTGCGGAAGTTGAAACTATGCTCCATTCTGCACTTTCTTCCATATCTTCTGTAGAAATTCCATCCGCACCTTTTGTAACATTCACGTCATCTATGAAATATGTCCAAACAACAAAAACAAGGTCGCACGTTTGTTGATCAAAAGGAAAGTGAGTAATGTCAATCGTGCATTTGGATTCGAAAACCTCGAACGGCTGCCACCATACAAGTCCAATATTCATAATCTGGGCTAGGATAAAATCAGACCCAAGTGTAGTCAATTTGGTAAAGCCGTTTTTAAGTGTCAAATCTGGTTTCCATATTATATCTTGAGGAACGTACAGTTGCATGACATCACCATTGTTCCAGGTTAAATATTCGTCGGTCCATCTAACAGATAGGTAACCAGTTGTTGTAAATTTACCTTCAACTTCATCTAAACCATTAATACCAACAAGGATCATGTCTAGATCAACGTTCATCGGTTTCGTATAATCCTTGTTTGGTCGGACTATAGTACTATAACTTGCAAACAGGTTAGTGACAAGAGTCTTTGCCTCATCTCCTCCACCCGCCTGTCCAAGACAGGGAATTGCTTCGTAAAATATTATGAACAGTAAAATTTTCATTAGTTTGTCCATGTCTACCGATCGCGAGCAACGTTGGATTAACGAATGCGAATGCAAATCGGGTTTAGGTCAATATATTACTACGAATAGTCACATGTTAAAATGAAACATGGGGCCATTAAGAAGCAATCTCAAATTTAAATGTTTCTAATGATGTACATAATGGCAATATCCGATAGTTTCTGTATACTGATTTGAGATGAGTATATATAATGGTTAAGATTTTCTGCATTTCTTTGCATAACGTTGTTAATTGATCTAGAATATTTCCTTAAATCTTCCCTCGAAGTTTTTCTTTCTTTCTTTTTTTTTGGAAGTAAACCGGCTACCACTAATATGATCTAGTAAGGATCTACAGATTATATAGATAATAAAAGAAATAGTGGAGCATATATTTATAAAACATAGCAACGACTAAAATTACAATAAATACTTATTTAAAAACAATGATTTCATTTAACCTAATGAATTAGACCATGGATAACGAAACAGATACATTATTACGTAGGTCGATTGCTTTATTGACAAATGTTTAACCATGTATAGATGACAGTTTGGAATATGTATTTTTAAATTTGCTTGTACTTGGATGCTTCTACTGCATCGTGCATTGTACATTGTATAAATTAAAAAATCCATCTACGAAATTAAAAGATGTTAATACTACTATTTACAAGACATTGTATTGATTTATGTCCATGTCCTATGTAAGAAACCATATAAGAATACGTAATTTTCAAGCAACACATTATTGACATGTTGAATTTGAATTGTCGTAAGCACAATCCCTCTCTTTTCCTCCAATGTGACCTAGTGAATTAGACTTATCTTTGAACTTACATGGGAGGAAATCGACAGGTACCACATGAGGAGCAGAATTTGCAGTATCAGTGTTTGTACATATAGGTTGTTGCAACTGCATTTTATCTTTATTTCTAATAATTCAATTAAAAAGTGTGAATATTACTAAAACTGCAAGTTACAACTAAATTTTCATATTAAGCAAAACGTTTGCTTGATAAAAGATAAATATATCATTGGACGAGCTGGATCTTAAACTTAAACTTACTGGGCTATGGGTTTGCATTACAATTCCAAGGTAGATGAGCTGCATAATTTTTTCATCTTAAGTATTAAGAAAACCAGCGTTCTATTTTAGTTGTAGGTGATTTCAATATGAAAATTTGCAGTGATTGTTTGTGTTGACTTTCCTACTTTTTTTTAATTCAGCCAGTTTTCAAAGAACAAAGGTCAAACAACTATTTGTTTTACGCTTTATATATTTAGTTTTGTTTAAAAAGAATATTATAAAAACACATTTCTTTCTTTTTGTTACCACTGGGTTACAACTGGTGTTGCTAGAAAGACAGTCACAAAGGATACAGTCAGACATGAAGACAGTGAGTGCTTTGGTTATTACATGATTACACTCATACGTTGAAGTTCCGAATTTGCAGTTGAGGAATCCTGATACGTTGTAGTTCCACATTCAGGTTATCCACATCTTCTTATCCTTCTGGAGTACCTGAAATCATCCCCGGTTTTTTTGTGGGTTCGTGTTGATCAGTTTTTAGTTTTCTATGTTGTGTTTTGTGTACTGTTGTTTGTCTTTTGGTCTTTTTCTTTTTTTGCCATGGCGTTTGTCAGTTTATTTTCGACTTATGAGTTTGAATGTCCCTTGTCTATCGTTAGCCTCTCTTTTGCAGTTGAGTTTCTTTGACTACAAAGTGTTTATAAATTATTAAAACCAAAATAATAAGTATTAACCAAGTTTTATTTCATTAACAATTTAACTTAAAATGAGCAGAGATTTTAGAGGTCGCAACTTCATTAGGCAGAGATGAACGTATACAAAAGAAGATGTGGTAGGATCGCAAATGAGACAACTATCCCCCAGAGGCCAAAGGATGAGGATGGAAACGACTATTGGGCAATGTACGACCTTCAACATAAGCAGTTGTTTTAGGGTGGGTCTCCATACGCAACACAAGTTTGAACCCTTGTTTCCAGGTTATTTTCTATAAGAGTAAAACAGATAAAAGGACAGGAAACCAGTCTAGCGGGTTTTATTGGTTCTGTTTCTAGTCTATTATATTCTAATATGTTTTGCTTGATTTTCTTAAACATGTGTATTTGGCCGAACGAGCGTACTTGATGAAACATGTTTCATGCGCAGTGAAATCAGATTCATATATTTTAACACTTTTTGGATCTCAAGTTACTGAATCTCTTTGAACACGATTTATATCTTACAGATTCAAACGCTTAGTTACTAGCAAGGCTATGGACATTACAGTGTAAGTTAAATTTTCAAATAATAAATAATCAAAATGTGCTTCAACTATAATGTTGTCGTTCCTTCAAGCATATTTGATTCTAGATGATTAAGAAAAATAAGGAGATGTGGTATGGTTGCTTATGTGATAACTATCCACCAAAGACCGAAGGACGATGATGTTAACAATCACAAGCATGAGAACATCCTTCAACAATGAGCAAAACATATACAGTATGCATATAGTAAGCTATAAAAGACACCGGTATGTCAAATATGAAATAATTCATTTATGAAGAATACATGCTTGAATTGTGCTAAAACCAATAAACGAAAAACAATGAGACAGACAACAACCAACGACAATATCTGTTTTACAGCCGACTGACTTGAACCCTTGTTTCCAGGCTATGCCTACTGACTTGGAACATGCATATTGGTATGAAGAACGTGGCCGGAATAAACATATTTGTGAGCGCTCATCAGACTCCTTCACATGAGATTGATTAATTGATTGATTTATTGGTGTTTAACGCCCCTTTCAGCACTATTGTGCTATTTAATGGCGGTCAGTTTTTAGTGGTGGAGGAA